AGGGGTTCATCTTCCCCTATCACCTGCCACAAAACCTTTTCTGACTCTGAAGTTGTCCCAGGGCCTGGTTCAGGTATGAGAGTTTCTGTTACTCTTCACTTTGATTTATCCCTCTGAATGTCTAATCTTAACTGATTAAGATTCAGATGACACCTTTAGATGTATATTAATGCCACTATCTAGCAACTTTGTTGCTATTGCTTGCAAACTGCCATACCCTTAAAAATGTAACTCAAACAGCTCCTCACAGATCCATCTGAGGACTTACATTCTAATTTGACATTAAATAGTTTCATACTATCTCATGAGTAACTATTAATAGTTGTCGGGCACACTTCTACAACAAACGTAAGAATACAAATACTTCCTCAAAGTATTTGTATGCATTATTGATTCTTAATAGTAATTTACTACGTTGTTTGAAGTTACAGAGTAAACATGCTATTTCATAGTAGAAAAGTAATTTTCATCTCAATGATGTTGATATTTTACTTAATATGAAAGTCTGAAGAACAACCCTCATACCTTTGAAAAATGTCTCTTCTGTTTGACTTCAAACTAAGGGGAAGGTAACAGCAGTTCATAAACTACAGTCCTATCATTCTACTACTCTTCTACTATCATGAAAAGATTCAGTTCCATTGAAATCTGGCATCAATGGTGCTGCAAGCTCAACAAAGTTTAGAACACTTTCTGTGCTACTTCTAACTCAGAAGACTTAGCTGCTCATTAAGACTTGTTGCAGGTTTTAGAATTCTCAAGAATTAGAAAACATTAAGGAATTAGCCAAGATGAGACAGCTGAAATCACACCTGTAAACTTTAAAACTTAAAATTTTAGGGAAAGGTCAAAAGCCTAGATAAAAAATATCCTATTTCTACATTTCCAAGTTATAAGTGTTTGTGACTCCTTCCTGAGAAAAAATCTTGGTCTACTTCAATTATTTAAAAAAAAAAAATGTCCAAAATACAAAATGGAACTGAACTTCCTGGCCTAACCAGAAATCTCTAGGTGGTTGTGAAACAAATCTATAACCTATGAAACAAGATTAGTTATGATTTTTGTAGCAAAATGATGAAGAAAACAAGACAACACTGCAATCACAATGGGGTTGAAATAAAGGGAGGCCGCCTGGAAACAGTTACTTCCTTCACTCTTTTTTAGGCAAAGACCAACCTGAACATGGGCCCCCACCTTCTCTGTAACTGTTCAAAAATTCCACCTGCCAACAGATCCTTGCTACCTGTCCAAACACAGTCAGCTGTGGGGGCAAAGCTCAAATCCCTGTGACTTGCCTTAAGAGGGCCAACAAATGGAAAGCCACAGGGTATTCGCTAGGTAAAAAGAACGCATATGGTCTGGGTAGCAGGTATCGAACTTGGAAGAGAAACCCGACTGGGCTGAAGTCCTAAATTCGCCTGACAAACTCAAGCAGTGATTGCAAAATCCTGCCCTAGCTCTTTTACCACAAAACGAAGTGACCCTACCTCTTCTATCCATGCCCCCAACACACTTGCCCAGATCTTTCCAAACCAAAGAAGCCACAGGCAACCTAGGGGAATCAACGGATTCCAAGCGAAACCTGACCGCTTAGAAAGGCCTCCCCGAAAAAGAAAAGATCAAATGAGACCGACTCAGCAGGGTCTTCCCTAAGTGACCCCGGTGTTAACGTATTTATTTTCACGCTGCAACTGCCGATCACTTTACAGAGACATATCATGCTGTAGCTCTGCGTAGAGCTGCGACAAAAGTAACATTTTTACTGTTATTATTATAATTATTCTTTAACAAAGCTATTAAATAACCTGTACAAAGCCCGAACTGGTCCTAGTGAAAACTCGAGCACTATTTCAAATCTCCCAAGATTTTTCCGGTTTAATTCAGCAGCGTTTTCTATATACATGACCAACTCAGGGTGGTCTCTCAAAATTGAAGGTCTCCCAGAGGGTGGGAGTTTGGAACCGCCCTGGAGTAACCCAAGTGACCCCAGATCCCAATCCTACCTCCCCTGCTCCTCCTGGCCACAGGCCCCTGGCGGAGGACCGGGAAGCTAGGAGCCTATCCCCACTCTGAAAGGCTGGCAGTGTTTAGTCCGCCTCTGAGTCTTCCCATTGCCAGTTGCCCACAGGCCCCCAGGACGTCCTGCAGCATTGCGGGAAGGGAGACGGAGGCGGTAGTGGAGGCGGGAGTGGCATGGGCTCACAGGTCTCGCGGATCCTCCCGCTTGACCCCGGCCTCAGCAACTTTGAGCTTCTTGTTCTGATGCGTCTTCACGTGCTTGGCTAGGTGGTCGCTGCGCATGAAGCGCTTGCCGCACTCGGGACAGGCGAAGCGCTTCTCGCCCGTGTGAGTCCGCAGGTGCCGCTGCAGCTCGTCTGAGCGCGTAAAACTCTTGCCACAGAAGAGCCAGTTGCACACGAAGGGACGCTCGCCCGTGTGCCAGCGCAGGTGAGCCTTCAGGTGCGACGTCTTGCCGTACACCTTGCCGCAGCCCGGCACGTGGCACACGTGCTGCTTCTTCTTGCCCGGCTCTGCCTCGGGGGCGCCGCCCGCCGCCTGGCAGTTGGGGCAGCGGCAGCGGCGGCACCTCCTGGCCGTGGCCGCCAGGGGGGCCTTGGTCTGCAGCAGCGCGGCGATCTGGCTCTGGTATTGCGCGAAGTCCGACGGGCCTAACACCAGGCCCCGTTGCAGGGCGGCGGCGGCCGCGGCAGC